ATGGATTTATTGCTGTATTTATTGGATCCGTCGGGACTAGCGGGGCTCGAACTTGTAGCTTCCGCCTTGACAAGGCGGTGCTCTAACCAATTGAACTACAATGCCAGCGAAAGGGATCTTGCAGAGATTTTTATTTTTTTTTATCTCCACATCGAGTCTTTATGAAAGATAGGAGGTTATACCCTCTCAAGATAAATTGAATTGGTGAATTGGGCGAATTATTGGGCCGAGATGGATTTGAATCAACGTAGACATATTGCCAATGAATTTACAGTCCGTCCGCATTAACCGCTCGAGCATCGACCTAAGAAGAACACTTTTAGATTTATTGATAATTCATAATTAAATTCCTTTCAGTACCCTACCTTTAAGGGAAGTCGAATCCCCGCTGCCTCCTTGAAAGAGAGATATCCTGAACCATTAGATGATGGGGGACTTACTTGCCCAACCGCCGTCATACTATGATCATAGTATGAACAGTTTTTTGAAATTGTCAATATAATGTAATGATTTGATTGGATCTTTCTGCCTTTTTTAGGTGTAGAGAATTTTGCGATTTGGCATTCATGAATCGTTCATTCTAATCGCCATTCTCCACTCTATTTATATAAATAAATATAGTTATAGAAATCTATATTATTTAGTCTAATATAAAAAGAAAATCAAAAAGTAGGAAATACAATCAAAAGATTTTCTAATGCATTCAAAACAAAAACATAAAAATGAAATGAATAGAGGCAGATGAAAATACAAGAAATTCTCAGAAAAAATGCGATTAAAACAAAAAATAGATAAATATCAAAATTTAGAGACTGACCCCCCTTAATTTACTTTTTCAATCAATCAAGAATGATCAACATCGAACTCGAGTTGAATTCGAGCAGATCAAATTGAACTTGAATTTGAATTCAAAGATATTCAACTCATTAGCTTGCGAGTCGGCTTGTTTCTATATATATATATATATATATCCTTAATATTTTATTATTTATTAAAAATTATTATTTTTATGTTTTTATGTTTTTAAAGTCAAACTCGATCATTACATTTTGAACTCGTCGAGATCAAGTTCGAATTTGAGTTTCATAAAACTAAGTTGAGACTCGACTTGGCTCGGCTTGTTTGTACCTCTAGTTAAAACTATACTTTTTAACGGTTCGACCGGTTCCGGTTCCAAAATTTAAGAAACCGGAAGGGTGGCCCAAGGAATAGATTGATCAATCGAAATCAGACCGAACCGGAAACCCCCCAATTTTGCTGGGCTTTGAGCGTTTTGCAGAGACCAAGAGATTGGAGACGTAATGTCGTCAGGAGGAGGAAGAGGAAGTAGGGCGATGGTGTCTGTTGCCGCCGGCGACTTGCAAGTGGTAGCGACGTCGGAGAAGCCGCCTCGTCCTCCGTCTTCGTCGTCACTTTCTTCGTCATCCAATGCACTGGTAGAGTACACTCCGCCAGCTCCTAACCCCGAGGAGGAGGATCTCGAGGTCAAGCTCCGCCGTATCATCGACTGCGTCCCCGTTCGTGTTAGTAACACCTCCGGTAGCTCTGCCGGTTCTGGCTCCGGTGACTTCCACCAGGTAATTATTAGTTCTTTCTTCTGCCTGAAGTCCTAAACCCTAGATTCTATCAATTTTCGGTTATACAGTCCTAACCTAACCCTATCACTAATCCAAGTTAGGTTCTTTGTCATTGGAGTTTGGCTTGGCTGTTTAATTAGATGTTTGCAGATTGTATTAAGTCCCGCCAAAGTATAATAACTGAGAATGGTTCCGCAATGCTGATGTAAAATTGACGATGATATGTTTTCGAAAAAATGTAGCTTTTAATAATCTGTGAATTGAGAAGATATCAGAAGATTTAGAGGGGCACTTCGACAGAAGTCCTAAATTTCGTAGAATCCAGCAAATTATTTCATGATTAGCTCACATCAACTGACAAACTAACTGTGTCTTAATGGCTGACAACAGCTTTTATTACATGATTGAGAACAGCTGAGTCGATGCTAACAGATTATGATTTCCTCTATGGTGCCTTTTCACAGAACTGATGCTGGCGTCCCTTGTTTGAATGAATATTTACAGTGTGTATTACATTTACTGATTATTGTTGTGTTAATTGTGTTTACCGGGTCAGTACTCAATATAGCATCTTCGTGAAGAAATTAATTGATTGGCTTAATCACTTGTAAGTAAAGGAATTTCTTTTGCCACTGCAATGAAAGCCTTCAGACGTTGAGAATCTATAGCTTCAGTACTGGTGATTTGGTTTCCAGCTGCTGGGCACAAGGACGAGACAAAAATAAAAAAGAAAAAAGAAAAAGAGACTACATAGGCTGTTGGTGCACCCGATGTACATGTTGGCATCTAAAATATGGAATAATAGCCTTTTCTCTTTGTGCATTCACCAAATTTTGAACTCTACTGAACCTCAATTCCAAGCACCTCCCAATCTAAACAATCCGAGCCCTGTTGAGCGTCTACCAGAAAACCTTAATGCATGGAATTACCCATTTCAAGATTTTGAGGAACCCAAGGAAGACTATTGAGAAACCAGAGCTATTAGTGACTGGAAAACTATGACTTTTTCGGTTTGAGCATAAAGTACTGACAAGTGAGAAACAAATGGCATTAGTTTAGTTCATTTTTCTATGATCTGAGTCACTATCTTTTATTGGATTGAGTAATTGTTAAACTAGTGAACTTCTAGTGTGTTCCAGTTCAAGAACTGGCCATCATTTTATTGCTTGGGAGCAATGGGTGGCTTGGGCTGGAGCTGGGTGCTGGGTTTTGCAATTTTTATCTGGGGAACAAGCAGTTAGTTGGACCAACTGAACTTGATAACAAGAGACCTGTGTTTAGCCTCCTTTGTGGGTGAAGGGGAGCTTTGCTTAACATAAGCGCCTACTGAGGTGGCCATAGGTAGTTACTGTATTTCACCAGATTTATTTTTTGGGTAAGATGGGCACTTGTGGGTCTTTTCCCTTTTCATGGGCAGTAGTGTTGCGTGTGTTTTGTCTTTTCAATGTTATCTGTCTAGTCCAGAAAGTTGCCTAACGTTGATGGTATGGTATTTGTTTAACTCAATTACCATCTGTTAATTGTGATGAAGATCTTAACTCTTTCATGCATTTTCTGGGAGACAGTATCGGCAAATGAGACGTAAAGAGCAAGATCGACTTGCGAGGATGGATGTGGACTACCAAAAAAGAAAAGAAATAGCAGAATTTAATATGAGGAGGGAAGAAAGATTAAAAGCTGCGGAGGAGCGCACAGCAAAGAAACGAATGAAACGCCAAAAGAAAAAACAGAGAAAGAAAGAGAAGAAGACCAAAGTAAATGATGGGGGAGAAGAACATAAGAAGGACGAATCCTCAGATGATGATGCAGATTCAAATGATGAAGTTGACATGTAATTAACATTTGATTCACAGCGGTGCTTCCATTGTTTTTTTGGGGGGGGGGGGTTGTGTCTGTGGAGGCATGGCTGAAAAATGAGCTCTTTAGCCTGGAGAAAGCAAGGGACGCTTTGTTATTGGGGGTTATGACATGTATGATGCTAGAAAAATTTTTGTAAACTAACCCTTGAGATAGAGCACTTGGACAGAGAATTTCTAACTACAGTTGAACCTTCTGTCACTAGGTGAAGTTCTGCGGAATGAAAGAAACCAGGAGTGAACTGCGTTGTAGCAAAGTGTATCTTGAAAATATGACGTCCATCCTGTGCATAACTAAATTAATTTGTGTGCTACGGCTGAGATCTTGACTTGCCTTTTAATTTTGTTCCTTTTTTTTTTCATCCCAAGTTTTTGGGACCTCTTGCCATGCATTCCAATTCTCTGGTTCTTTCACTGTTTTTTGAAGAAACCTGTATGCTAGTGGTACTGCTGGTTTGGCAAGTAGTAGTATTCTTTAAGGAGCCTATTCACAGCTGCTCATTGCCTGAAAGAACTTTTCGGCAAAAAGTCCCCTTGGTCTACAGTCCACTTAACGTAAAAGAGAAGGGTTTCACTCATCATTTTTTCTTGTGAGAACGGTTTCATGCTTTGTACTCTTTCCATCTGTGATTTTCTTGTTCCAAGAGAACCAAGCAGTCATAACCACAAGGCTAAAGATTTGCGTTCAAGTTTAGCTTTCAAATTAGGCCATTACTACTATTTTGTCCAGAATCGAATTAAGTTATAATCTTAAACGCGAGTTATTTATGTCAGGTGCAGTATGATTTTTGTTTTTTGGGTCCATCTGTTAATTATATGCATCACTCTATTTGCTTTTAAAATTTACTTCCTGTATAAAGAAAATAAAACAACGTAGCTGAATTATATCACAATTTGATGATTATTAGTATATTACATCAGAAACTAAGAAAAGTATATAATAGGAGTATCAATCGGGACTAGTCGTTAGTCTTTACTGCAAGGTCTCGGGTTCGACTTCTGTGAAGTAACTCGCTGGCATCTTTGGGCGGGGCTTTGCTGGCCTTAGGGGATTAGTCTGGCCAAATAAAGGTTGGGACACTCCTAAGTTATATATATATGTATGTATGTATCAATCGGGACTAGTTGTTAGTCTTTACTGCAAGGTCTCGGATTCGACTTCTGTGAAGTAACTCGCTGGCATCTTTGGGCGGGGCTTTGCTGGCCTTAGGGGATTAGTCTGGCCAAATAAAGGTCGGGGCACTCCTAAATATATATATATATATATATATATATATATATATATATATATATATATATATATAAAATAGGAGTAGAACAATCTAAAAATTCTACTCAGCAATGCAATTTTTTTTCTTGCAGAGAACCATAATTTCATTACTCGTTAATCAATCCAACATTCAGCTAGGAAAATATATTGAAAGTTGAATATGTATAATAAATCCTCAATGCATATGCAATTTAAAGAAAAATTTGTACTTAATTAATCCAATCAATTGGAAAAGCAGTTATAAACAAAGCAAAAAAAAAAAAAAAAAAGGTTAAAAAGTGGCATTGATAGGTACAAAGTTACAGCTCACCAGCCTCCACCAATTGTGCAATATTACTACTCCTTCGCCCAATTCCGACCCCACCTTCAAAAATTCATCCTCCCAATCCAAATAATTTTTCCAAAAATTAATCATCGGAAAACCCTAAACCGGCCGGCCATGGGAGACTCTCATCGGCATTCTTCTTCAGTCCATCAAGCTCTTGGCTGTGGTTCTGGTACTATACATTTCCTTCCTCTCTTTCTTTCCTGTTGTTCATGTAAACATGCACCAATGCAATTTCTCCTACGCATGTATTATTTATCAAGACTATTGGAATCCGGTGCGATTCATTTGGTTAAATGGTGTTCAGATTAGATTATATGTATTGGTGGGGAAGACTTGTTTTTACTGCGTAGTATGCTGACTTTTAAATTTTTTTTTTTTGGCTGCACCAGTTTCTAATTGATTCTCATTTTCATTGACTTAGATGGTGAAATTTTTTCTGTTTTGTTGAGTATATCTGTTTTTTTAAATGGAATGATTTGTATGGACCATTAGAATTTGCTGTTGGGTAATCACTTGGTATTAGTTTCGTATAGGCTGTGTAGTTGTTTGGAGTTGGTTTCAATGTATTTTGATTGTTTTCTTTTTTGGCCTTTGGTTTCTGCTATTGTGGGTACAGTTGCTGATGTGTTGATGTGGAGGAGATGGGGTACAAGCGTTGCCGTGCTTGTGGGTTCAACCACTCTTTGGTTCCTTTTCGAACGGGCGGGTTATAATCTTTTAACCTTCATTTCCAATGTCATCTTGCTTCTCGTTGTAATACTCTTCTTCTGGGCTAAATCTGCATCGCTTCTTAATAGGTAACTCATGCGTATTTCGATTCATAATTGCTGTTCTCAATTTTCAGTCATGCTTTGAAGCATTTGTTTGGTAAAGTATTGAACTAGTGGTACTAATAATTACTTAGCATAATCACTGAAAACTGCATAATGTCCAGCTGGGTATATAGGGGAAAGAAATGGTTGAATGGAGTAGGAGGCATTTCAGTAGCCTGGAGTCTGAAAATGGTTGATCTTTTACTTTAAGAGTTATCAAATGATGTGCTTTTCCTTTTCGATGTGTTGGAATGACGAAATTGATGCAATTTTAGACCTCTACCTCCTCTTCCTGATCTGGTGGTTTCGGAGGAAACTGTGACCAAGGCTGCTGATGTTACGAGAGGGTGGATTAACAATGTGCTGTTGATTGCACGTGACATTGCTATTGGTGGGAACTTGAAGCTCTTTGTTCAGGTGTGTTTTATTGTTCTTGTGATGCTTTTTGCATATTTCAAATCTAATTGGTAAAATGAATTGTGTGATGTTTAAGTTCGGGTGGCTTTGGTCAGGTTGCTGCAGGATTGTGGCTGGTGTCATACATTGGCAGCTTTTTCAACTTTCTTTCTTTGCTATACATTGGTGAGATATTTTGCTGCTTGATTCTTTGGAGTCAGATTTTACAAGCCTTTCTGACATATGATTAACTTGGACTTCCTTCTTTTCTTTTGAATCAGGGGTTCTTCTTAGTCTCTCGCTACCTTTTCTGTATGACAAGTACCAAGATCAAATCGATACCAAGTTGGTGGTGGCTTATGATTCTGTTCAGGTGCAGTACAGAAAGCTTGATCATAAATTGTTGAGAAAGATTCCAGGCATGCTGAACAAGGAAAAAAAGACACAATAGAATAGACTTGGTGTAAGTTCTTCCATTTCTCACATAATATAGAGCAAAAGTTGGTGTCTTGTGTAACTTCCTTTTTAAATTTCTTCAGAATACAAATAAATAGGAGTGTACTCTTGATTTTCACTTATAGAGTCATGCCTATTTGTTTGGAATTTTGTGTATTTGTGGCTACTTTTAATATTCTGTGCCTTCTTTTCTATCTGACTCACACTCAAAATCTAATGGTCAGTCTTATGTGCTGCAGAATCTCCTACATCTTTACCCACATATATTGTACACTGGGTTTTGTAGATACATGTGGACATTTGTATAAACATATGCAGTTTTATGTTTTGTCCAAGGAATATATATTTATGTGCTTAAAGGTGCTATCATAGTTGAGGGCTTTTTGAAGCCAAAGGTTTTTAATTGCTTATAACATCTTGAGAAATAAGTTTTCACCCTTTTTTGAAGCCATAGTAGGTTGGCTAATGGTAGTGCTTATTTTGACAGAACTTTTATAATTTGCTATATTTGAAAAAAGGACACCCACACACACACACATATATATTTAGCAAAACCCATACATGGGGACTTTTTACATCTATTGACATGTTGCCTGTAACATTTAATAGGCATCATGTCTTGAGAAGCCAACTATTCATTTAACCAGTTTTTCCTCATTCTAGCAGATGAAGTTGGCGGCTATTCTGGGATAATGATTTCCTAGATGCAAATGTTGTTTTACTCTTACTTGGTTAGTCTTTTTTTTTTTCCCATTTTTTTATTTTTCTTAGTCTAATACCTAAGTAAGCTAAGTATGGGCATTGCATTTCAACTAGGAAACTGATGATTTAACCAACTCTGTTAAGCTTGGTTTTTTGTCTTATCCCTGAGCTGCCAATTTCATCTAGACTGTTGAAGAAGTCAATTACTTAATTTGGTTCTTATTCAGAGGATGCAAGATTCTTACTCTGCACAGAATCTTTTCGTCTTTCAACAATTTTAGTTTCAAGGCTCTTTTCATTAGTTTTGCTGCTGTCTTGATCATCATGTAAGGACTTAGACATGGAGAATGGTATGCACCTGGTGCTAAACAAGTTTTTTGAATTTGCTTGTGCTTGATGTATTTGTAGATATACTAGTCATAGGGTTTTGAAGGGGCACCTTTGTCCAATTGGTGGCAAAAAGTTGATCGAAGTCATGCATTTTATACTTGAGTATTTCTTTTGATATCAATGTAGATCACAAATCATGTCCTGACTGGTTCAACATGCTGTTTGTTTGTCTGGAGTGTTTTCTTTTTCTGTCCTCTCTTTCTCTAGATTAGGAACTCTATGGGAAATATGACCTTGTTTATATGATCTTGCAACTGAATATACCTCTAAGAGGCTCACTTCAAGTTCAAAACCAGGAAGTTGAAGGTTCTTTTTACTGGAACAATGTGAGTCAGTAAGATAATGGTGTGACTTGTCAACTTTAGTTCGTGATTTCCAGTTATTGACAGGGTTCAGTTTACGCAATGGTTTATGTAGCTTTGTTTATGCTTATGTAGCTTCATTGATGCATAAATAGAGCTTATATGGAGACTTTTTTTGCATTTTAAACTGAGGATTAGAGTTGTTGAGGTAGTTACTGCACAACATTCCTGTTCTTCCGATTGTTATTTGGTGCCTTTGTTGGGTAGTTTATTTCACCGTGTTGACAATGTGCAAAAGCTTGTGATTTTGATGCGAAGTTTCACGCTGAAAGTGTTTGGAGTTGTTCCCGCAGAGGCACTTCTGATTATTTCAAATTAATTGCAGGGCCATTTTGCTGGGCACTTATAGCGTGGGTGTTTACTTGCCATTAGGGGTATTAACATGAAGACTGGATAGACCAATATTGTCTTAAGCGGCTCCTGATAAAAGCTAATCTTGTATTTTTCACACTTACTGTAACCAATTCCTGATAACTGTGGGTGATACAACATAGTGTGGCTTTGATGCACTTGCTTCTTCCACCGGATAAAAAATTCTCTGGCGATTTTGGTTTTGGTTGTGCAAATGAGTGTTTTGAAGGGTTATGCCCATTTAGATGTACCTGGATTCCCATTAGGAAAACTATCAACCCATCAGCTTGAAAGATCCCATTGGAGGAGGCTTCCCTTAAAGCTTGGATCTACCTATTGTGATTGTAAACATTAATTTCTCTTGTTAATCCATATTGTTATGAACATTCCGCCGAGTGTTCAACCAAATATGATTGATGTGCATAAGCAGATAAGGAAAAATTTGTCCTAGAGTTGAACCATTTTTTTGTTTGGCAATTTTTTAAGGGTTAGCATTATGACTATTCATCTTTCTCGTTGCCACATGAATCTTATTACATGTTGCATATGGAGTATTCCTTTTTCACCCATAATAGCTGCAACTGCACATCATATATACAAATGTGTGTATATGTATATGCACATACACACATACACATGCATACATACATCTGTATATGTTTGTATATATATGTACATATGTGTGTGTGAATCCTTATGATTAGTAAATTATCATAAATCCATTTTTCAGTCTAAGAAATTAAAGGAAAAAATTTATTCTATGTTCTTAGCATTAGACGATTAGAAATAAATTACTCATTTTTTACAATCAAGTTCACTTGCTGGTTTGTGAGCCTGTAAATAATTGTTCATTGTTTTGTGAATTCACTCGGGGCTTTTACATAAGCTGTGATGAGGAAAATTACTTTGCTTTGCACAGAATTATCAATAATTGATCATTAGTTGCAAAGCTCGTGCAGCGATTGCAGCGGGAACATATACCACATAAATGTTGAACAGCACAAGATTCTACTTTAGCTTAAAATTTGGCTTACCATTAAGCATTGTTTTGAAAACCAGATCGGACCGCGAACCTTTCATAGCTCTGATCCGATTCATACTTTGGACCAGCAAGAATCGTCGAACAATGCGAATCGGATTTTTTTTGTTTTTGTCTATTAAATTGAAATAAATTAAAAAAAAAGAATAAGTTTTCCTTAACCCTAAAAATTAAATATTGAATGCCACATTCACTCACTTTATTCTCATTTTTTGCCTCTTATCAAGTTTGTATCTTTATTTTCTATTTTCCTGATTTCCTTCAAACTCCAAACTTCTTCTTTTTCTTCTTCTTTTTTTTTTAAAAGTTGCAATCTCTAAATCCAAAAAACGTGAATTGAAATTTAAACTCACAATGTCTAATTCCCAAAGACGTTAATTTTGTATAATTTGAGAATATTGTGGTATTTTTGGGTTGGATTTAAGATAATTTTTTTGATAGATACAATTGAAATTGTGATGAAATTTGTTTGTTTCAACTTATACTTTTTAAAATTTATTACTGAAAATCCAAGTTCTTTGAAAATATCAAACTTTTCATCATGTAAAATCTTAAATTAGTTCATTGCATGTCTTATTTTGTGCACATATATATATAAATTATTTTTTAAAAAATTCATTGAATCAGGATTGAATCGACCCGATCGGTTGAATTTCGACCCGAGCATCTCATCAGTTCAATTAACGGTCCGAATTTCAAAACATTGACGAAAATACCTCAAGCAAATATGCAGTGGTCCACCATGAAAGTAGCACTGATACAGATATTCCACATATAAGTTCTAAAAGCACCTATAATTTGGTCAAGCGGGAACATCTATCTACTGGCATTCACCTATAATGTAGACATGACCAAGTAATCAAACATATCGTTAACTATGCACTGGAAGTGAAGCTGAACTAAATTGGCCATGCCTATGAATCACATATCATCAGGTAAGTTTAAAAAGCAATAAAGAACAAGCATAGAATGTTTGACTGCATGCATAAACAGGATCATCACTGCATTTCTTTATGGATGTATTAATCATTAGTTTACTGGTTTTGTCTTTTAATTTGTCATTTCAATGCACTTGCGCAAGAATTAAGAGTATTACTGTAGAAGAGGAACATACAACTATTCATTTCCTCACAGTGTCGTACAGATAGACTCTTGCATCAGCAGAATCTGTTTAATTAAACTACAGTTAAGGGTGAAAATCCCTCAAGTCTTACTTCCCGATTACAATGAATAGTTACTGGGGATAGGAAGTAAAACAAGCCCCAGAAACCAGGAATCGATCGGTTAACTGTCCAAATGAAGGAGCAAAAATCTTTGGTAAGAGAAGAAAAGAAAGTTGGAGGGAGCTCTGAAACTGTTTATAAACAACTTTCTGGAATTATGACTCCTTTTGTAGTCCCTCCGATGTTCTTGCAAAATGATTGTGCTTTCCTGTTCAAATAGGTGAGCTTGATGTCGTGCAGCCTGATGCCTCGGCATGGATTACTAGGACTACAATCAAATATCACAGCAACCTGAGTAGTTGATGTGCCTTGTATGTTTTGGTATGTGACTTGATTAATCTTTACACCAGAAGTCTGTAAAAGAAAAAGGCAAATGATCAAAGGGAATAAGTGATGGTGAAGGATTTTCCTAGTGTCAATTGATAATCTGTGATGCATAATTGATGGTTACTAGCTTATTACCTGACGAGGACATCCTTGGTTGTTTGGGCAGTAATTCTGATCAATGATTATAGGATTATCCACATTCTTCATGATGATGTTTCGAAAGTTGATATTGCTAACAAATGCAGTTGTTGGCCTTGCCCATGCTTTAATTCTTAATCCATTATCAGCTCCAGTGAACACCGAATTCGTGAGTGTCACATTCTGCACACCATCTTCATTGAAGTCCCTGCCCAAACTCCCAATGCTGCAATTTAGACACTTGTATCAGTCAATTGCGCATGCTAACATTCGTTGTTAGGAAGTCTACCTAAATGCTGCAATTGAGTACCTGACGCCATGTCCAGGGCCACACTGTATCTTTTCCATCCACAGGTTTCTTGTTCCTGGACCAATTGATATGCAGTCGTCGCCTGTTTTAATGCTACTGCCAGTGATGGTAACGCCTGTTGAGCCTTGGACATGAATGCCGTCAGTATTTGGGCTCAGGTCTGGAGCTACAATCCTTACATTTTGAACTTTTACATTCTTGCAGCTGTTAACCACAACATGCATAAGCTGGCTGTTGATTGATGTCAAGCCGTTGATCAGTCCATTATTCACCCAATTGAATGTTATAGACTGCAATTACGTACGTGAATATGAGTCAAAAAGCTATGCAAATTCCCAGATACCGGACTCCATCCATAAATTTTTTTTTTTAAAAAAAATTACTGTACTTGAAAACTATTGATTCTCTCCACTTTTTCCTATATGCTTCTGCCACTGAAATTCAGAGACAATAAAATGGTAAGGATACATACCCTTGCTCCAACTGGGCAGTTCTTCCCTGACTGGCGGCATGCCCAGAATCCTGCTCCCTTAGCGTCCAGTGTTCCACCGATGACCGAAAGCCTATTGACCTGGATGAACAATAGCCAGTATCCTGAGTTGCCAAGAGCCCAGTAATTATCAGGAGCAACAAGAGTCCCATCAATCTTCGCAGTGATTCTGTTTCTACAGGGTCCTTTAAACACTGCTGCCTTTATCAGGTAACGCCCTCGAGGGACATAAACAGTGGCCGGTTGGATCGACCTACAAGCTGACGCCCAGGCCTTAAGGAATGGCTGAGTTGAGTCAGTTCTGCCATCCGGTTTTGCTCCAAAACTGAGCACATTGAAGGATGCTGCCCTTGTTATGCTCAAAAGGGTTGCGCAAGAAAGGAAAAGAATGGATGAAACTCTAATGCTCTTAGCCATTTTGCCTACTGGCCTCTGGCTCTGTGAACTGTTTGGCTTGTTGATGTGCAATTCTCATCTTGGCAATGAGTGCTATATATATACAAATTGTCTCGTAACGGATCTTCTGTTTCACACTCTGTGCCACTTTTTATTATATTACTATTTCTCCTATATAAACATCATGTTTTAGTTTTTTTTTGTTTTCTTAAGATCCAATAACTATTAATTGAGTAATACACAAAATTTAACAAATTCAAAAAATCAAAATGCATAAAAAATGAGATTTTTATGAATTTTCTGCTATAGTTTTTAATTTTCTATTATATATTACTTTTTTAAAGCTGCTGTATTTATTTTTTACTCAATTAATAGTTATTGGATCTTAAAGAAATAAAAAAGAATCAAAACATGATATTTATGTAGGAGAAATAGCAATATAATAAAAAGTGAGACAGAAAGTGGCACAGGATGTGGAACAAAAGATCCGTTGCGAGATTGTCTTTTGGGGTAAAGGGATTGAGGCAACAGTTAGATGGCAGTTTTTTTTATTTTCTTCTGTTAATGTACAAATGATTGATGGTGGCATCATGGAATTAGTCAATTGTTGTTAATGGTACGTCATGGCCTACTTCAACTACATGTTATGATATGTACGGTGACCATGTGATAAGCTATCATAAGAGCATTTTCACACCATTTTCATATACTAGTTCTAACTTTTTAATTGGTTTTTGAAACAAGAAAACTTTATACAAATGGGTACCAAGAAATGATTGGTGGCTAGGGATTAGAAGTCAACGGATTTGTTACTTGATAAACACTTTGAGATTCCATTGAGCTGATGATCAAATATCATTCCTATGTTTGAATTAGCACATGGCTCTTTGGCATACAAAATTGCTTGCTTATAACTTCTAGTCTTGAACAGTTTCAGTTGACTGCAGGGTTGAGCGGTTTAGGGTTTAAATAAACAGGAGATCCCGAGTTTAAAACCTCTCATTTAAAAAAAAGAATAAAATAAAAAAGGTTGACATAAAATGAAAAGGGAATATTGCTTAAAGGTCAAAGATTTAATTTTAAATTACAACTTGATCTTCAATTAATCAATTGTATGACTTTTTGGCATGGCCACAAAATTCAATGTCAATGCTAATTTTTTTTATTGCAAACTGTAAAAATGGCACTGTCATACAAGATGCTAGGTCCTAGAAACATTATTTTCAAGCAAGATTAATGGAAGAAATAAGGAAACTACAATGAACCACAAAAAAAAAAAAACCCCATATTATTCATTGAGACATGAATGACAAGGTAGGCAAGCTTATACATGCAAGCATATATAGCTAAGAAGGTTTTGGAAAAGAATCTTAGGATCCTTCAAAATGACTCAAGAATTGAAAGCAAACCTTAGTAAACATTAGTAATTTGCACTGAAAATTAGAATCAATGTATTCTAGTAGCATATATATGAGAAAAAAGAATAACCAAAAATCCCACTTTCAACTCCATGCATGTACTCTTCTCATGTCCATGGA